TACCTCAGCCTCCAGAATAGCTGGGATTACAAGCGCCCACCACCGCACCTGGCTAATTTTTGTATTTTTAGTAGAGACGGGATTTTACCATGTTGGCCAGGCGGGTCTCGAACTCCTAACCTCGGTTGATCCGCCCACCTCGGCCTCCCAAAGTGCTGAGATTACAGGCGTGAGTCACCGCGCCTGGCCTAGGCTCTAACTTTTGTGGCCACTTGTCTGAATGTCTATAGAGCAAGCTTAGTGGACATGTTCTCGTCAAATGCCCCCAGCCACCTAAAGGCATAGATCTAGCCTGGGCACAGAGCCCTGGAGTGGGCTTCCTCCTGCCTCCCTCTCTCGCCTCGGCCACCCAAGGGCTCTGTACCTGCTGGGCATGAAGGGGCCTGGATGTGTAGAGACTTCAAAGGATCTTACCCTGCAACCTCCTCATGGTTGGCACCACAAGCCACCTTGCCACTGCCCAAGCCTGGGCATTGGCCCTGGAAAAAGAGAGTGTCCTCCAGGCCAGACCCTAGGTTGCCAGTCCCCGCCCACAGGAACGCAGAGTCCAGTTGTTGGGTTCGTGGAAAATCCACATCAGGGAGGTCAATGAGCAACCTGCAGGCCTGTTTTTCACCCCCGATGGTGCAAACAGACTTGCGGAGGTCAGGTGGCGCCAGGGGGCTGGGCGGCTTGGACAGAACCTTGGCCAATGACAGCTGGCAGCTTGGAAAAGAGAAGTGGCAAACACCCCTCTTAGATGGAAAATACTCTCTGGCTCTGGCTGCAGCTTGCTTGGGAGGGGCCTCCTCTGCTCGGGAACCATCCTTTCGGGGGGCGGGGAAGAAGTGCAACTGCACTCCAATCTGGGCAACAGAGTGAGACTCTGTCTCAAACACACACACACACACACACACACACACACACACACACCCCTCGAGTCTATAAGACACTGGACAGAGACTTAACAAGTAGTAGTTTTACAAACATGGAAAGCCTGGGTTAGACTGGGAGCGGCCTGCAGGAGACAGCAGGGGTGAGAGAGGAGTGGCACCTCCCCTCTGTGGGTCTCCACCTCTGCATCGCCTCCACAAAGTCCCCAGCTCCATAAAAAATTAACAGCCTAGCGAAGAGCAGCGCTCCAATTCTGACCCATTGACCCCTGGAGTTGCACAAAGAGGGGGCGTTCAGCCCAAGGAAGGCCCTCGCAGGTGGACCTTGGACGAATAGGGTACAGGAGGGCCTAGGAAGCCTCTCCCCCACTTCTTCCTGCCTCCTCTAATCTCTCCACCCAGCCTGGACTTCCACCATCAGTGATTTCTGTGGTTTAAACCAGAGATCAGCAAACTCTGGTCTGAACCTGATTTTGTAAAGCCTGCGTGCAAACTAAGAATGGCTTTTACATTTGTATGGTTGAGAAACATCAAAAGAAGAAGACTATTTCATGGCACATGAAAATGATAATAAATTTGAAATGTAAGTGTCCACAAATAAAGTTTTATTGGAACATAGCCGTGCCCATCTGTTCATGGGTTCTCCGGGGCTGCTTTTGTGCTGCAATGGCAAAGGTAAGTCATTTTGACAGAACTTGAATGTCCCGCAAAGCAGAGAGTAACTACTATCTGGTCCTAACAGAAAAACTTTGCAGACTGGTTTAAAGGAAACCCGCAGGAAGAAGCGCCCTGGAGAAGGTCCTATTGGGGCTGTTAGTTGGGAATCAAGAGTCTCAGTTTGACTATTAACCAGTTACACCTCAGGCAACTGACTGGATCATGTTCCCTCCCTGTACCCTCCTTTCTCCATCTGTAAAACGGACATAGCGATTTCTTCTCTGTGTACCCAGAACAGCTCAGTTTAGACAGCCTGATTGTCATTCATCTCTAGAAGGAAATAACTCAGACGACTTTCCTCATTGCCTGGATGAGAGGGAGGGGACACTTAGGGGGAGCTGACCATGCCACATTGAGTAGGAGGAATAGGGAGAGAGGAACTCTTTTCTTCAGAACCATATGCAAAAGACAACCTCTGTCCCAGAGGTTGTGTCGGGGCAGCTGGCAACAAAGAGGCCACCCAGGCGGGGGGCTGCAACCAGCCCAGGGAGAAGGCAGGAACAGGAGGAGAAGGAGGAGCAGGAGCGTGGGCTTCTGCCAAACCCCGTTTCACCTGCACTCCTCCCAAGACCCAGCACACTGGACATAGGCCAACACGCAGATATGCCTTGACTTTTGAAAAAACCATTTTCGTAAGAGATGGGGTCTTGCTCTCTCACCTAGGCTGGAGTGCAGTGGCCAAATCACAGCTCACTGTAGCCCCAAACTCCTGGGCTCAAGGATCTTCCCTCCTCAGCTTCCCAGGTAGCTGGGACTACAGGCCTGCACGACCACACCTAGCTATACATTTACTCTTGTCTCTCCCTAGCTCACTCATCAAAGCCAAAGTGTCTATGGTGGCCCAAAGACCCCACAGGATCCACCCCACCCCCTCGACCTTTCTCTCTTCCCTTTCTCCCACCTCATTCATCGCCAGCCTCCCCAACCTCCCGGCTGGACCCTCCTCCCTGAGGGCCCTGACACCTGCTGTCCCCTCTTCCGGAACACCCCTCCCCTCTATTGCGATGGCCATGTAACCTTCTCCTTCACCTTCTTCAGGTCTCTTCTCAGGTGCCACCTGCTCAGTGAGGCCTGCCCTGACCTCCTTTTAAAAACTACCCCAGGGTCTGGGCACAGTGGCTCACATCTGTAATTCCAGCACTTTGGGAGGCCAAGGCGAGGGAGTCTCTTGAGGTCAGGAGTTTGAGATCAGCCTGGCCAACATGGTGAA